CCCAGTGCCTGGCCAGGGATGGAGCAGGGTGTGTGTGTGTGTGTGTGTGTAAGGTGGGATGGCAGCCGAGGGGGTTGGTGACTGCTGGAGTACCTGCCTAAGGGAGCCTGTGGGGCAGAGAGACAGCCTGGCTCTGCCCTCCATCTCTCCACCTGAGGAAGGCTGGCTTTTGTTGGAATCCTCACAATAGCGTGTATGGGGTAGAGCCTATCTGGCCCGAGAACCTGGGCAGATGCCCAAGCTGAGGTCTCAGAGAGGGTGGAATAGGCCCTGGAGCTGACCCAACCCACTGAGTTGAGCGGGAAGACGGGTCTCTGAGCCAGATGTCCCCCCTAACCCTCTGCAGGGACCAGCTGGTGGCCTCAGGGTAATAACTTGGCCTCTCTGAACCCTGCTTTCCAACAGGTCACAGGACAGCACCCTCCACCCCCTGGGCTGGCAGGAGGAAGCAGGTATACACATGGAGGCCCTGAACCAGAACTGGCTGGTGGAAGTGCTCACAGGGTACAGTGGGCACACTGCAGGTTCTGGGGAGATGGGGTCCCCAACTCCCTGATTACAGCTCCTATCCAACAGGGGATGGAGGGTGAGGGGTTCCTCAGGCCTGTAGTTGGGCTGTCCCGTTTCAGGAGCCTTAATGTCTCAACCTTGGGGAAGTAGTAGGGTTCCCCCACCCCTGACTTCAGAGCTCTCACCACTGTTTCCATCGTGCGGAGGGGTCCCTTGTACTGCCCAGCTACCTGGTGGAAGCCAAGAAGCTTTGGTGTCCCTTTCCCGGGACTGGCTACCAAGCCCAGTGCCCTGACTGACTCCAAGGAGGCCCCTGTTCATAGGCAGAAAATAGGGCCAACTGCTGTGACTTTATTTTCTCTATTTTCTCAGGGCTCAGCAGACCCTGTTTCTGGTTGGGAAGAAACCTCAGCTCATCTCCTTCCCAGCTACTAGGCATCCCCTCCCCCAGGCGTCCCTCAGGTTTCCAAGTTCCACTGTCACCTGCACCAAGCCTGGGGTTCCAAATAGACTTTGGCACAGAAATATGCACCCACAGACCCCCCGAACACATAAATACAGAAATACACAAGAGCAGGCAATGGACAGCCCTCGCCAATTGCTCAGTGGTTAGAGCATCAGCACTCAGACTGAAGGGCTGTGGGTTCGATCCCCTGTCAAGTACACATACTTCGGTTGCAGGCTTGATCCCTAGTCCGGGTCAGGGTGTGTGCAGGAGGCAACCAATCAATGTGTCTCTCTTACATCAATGTTTCTCTGTCTCTCTCTCTCTTTCTCCCTCCCTCACTCCTCCCTCCCTTCTATTCGCTAAAAATCAGTGGAAAGGGTGAGGATTAAAAAAAAAAAAAGAGCAGACATGGACAGAAATAGGCCCAGGGACGTGGACACACACACAGACATACCTTTCCAGGCAAATCCATATGTAGACACAGAACCCTAGACACACATGCATGGAGGCTACAGACACGCAGAGATTTACACTCAGATGTAACGTGGAGAGAGAGAATACATGCAGACACGCTCACAGCACGGGCATGCTCTTTCTAGAGCCAGCCAAGCCTGCCTGTCCCCTCGGCTGTGCGGGTGTCAGGGGACTTGCAGCCCCAGGGACGTCTTGCTCAGTTTGGCTCGCTGGGACGAGGGCCTCACCTGTGTCCAGCTTCCTGCGTTTCTGCTCAGGCTCCGGGGGGGCTGCCTCAATGGCGCGCTGCGCCTCGGGGTGGATCTTGAGGAGGGCCTTGGCCAGGGTGGTGGGGCCGGGCACCCCCAGGGACATGATGCAGTGCACTCCTTTGCGCTTGGCGGCAGCCACTTTGTCACTGTCTTTGGACGCTGTCAGCAGGACCAGTTTGGAGAACTTCCTGGGCTTGGGCTTCCTGGGAGCTGAAGGGACGACATCTGTGCCTGGCTCAGGGGACTGTGGGGACGGCTCCTGGCCGGCCTTCACACTCTCGCCCTCCTGCTCGCTGGGCTCAGGCAGGGGCATTGTGGGACCAACGGCCTGTCCCCAAGGCCACACTCAAGCTCCAGGAGACGGGTTTCTCCTCCTGATTCCTGGCAAGGAACTTGGCAGTCCAGGGGCTCTGTCCTAAGGGAGAAAGCAAACCCCCACAGTGAAGCCTGGGCTCGAGGAGAATGGATCTGGGGCGCAGTTTGGGCAGATGGGGCACCAAGATGGGCAAGGACCTGAAGAGAGCTGGAGAAGCCTGGCCGGTGCTTCTGCTTGGCCAGCTCCTCTCTCTGCCGCAGTGAGCACGTCACCTCCTCCATCCAAACCTCACTTCCCCACGTGTAAATGTGCTTTTACAATTAAGTCCTGCCCTTTGCGGGGACGGGGGGTGGGGGCTGCTGCTGGGGATTAAGATACTGATAACTGAGTTACTACAAATCCAGGTGCTTGGGTGCTGAGCCTGAAGCGAAGTGTTTCATGGCTTTTTCCATTTAAGCTTCCAGCCCCCTGTTATGAAAGTCCGCCATTCTCACTGACCCAGCTTACAGATGAGGACACTGAGCCGCCCAGGGCGACCAGCACAGCCATGAAGCGGCAGAGCTGGGAGGCCAGCTGAGGCCGAGCTGGAGCTCAACCCACACGGCGCCTGGCGTGTTTGTCCAGGATAACAGTCACTGGCGTTCCTGGGCACCAAGCATCAGAGACAAGCACTGGGGACATGAGCTCAGGGCACTGACGTTCCCAGAATCCCCAGCGCCCTCTCACCCTGACACTCTGCAGACCACAGAGTCCCTGGCCCTGAGAGGAGTGACTCTCTGGACTCACAACTAGATCTGGCCCTCACTCCAGGTGGGAGGCCTGGGGCCACCCAGAGCTCAGGAGGTGCCAGGGGTGCTTTCATAGTCCATGAAGGCAGCGATCTTGTGCTTGAGCTGGTGCTCCACTGCCTCAGCTGGACAGGAACAAGGCTGTGAATTTGTCCAGAGAATCTGTGGTCACTGAGGGCTCCCTGGCTTCTGGCCTGGAGAAGCATAAAGGACAGATTACGGGGACCGGGCTGGTCTGAAGACCATGGCCCTGGGGCATAAGCATGGGGTGGCCTTTTTTGTTTGGGGGCAAGTAGGTGGTGAGCGGATGGCAGGTCTTCCCAGTTTACCGTGTTAGCCCAGGAATAACGCTGCAGCCGGGGGAGACTCTTGCCTGCCCTGCCCAGGACCAGGCTGCGGCAAAGCCCACACAGGCCTACTTGCACCCTCGGTTCTCACTGTTTCCTTTTCCTGTGTCCTCACATGGTCTTCCCTGTGTGTCTATATCCTAAAGGCCCTTTCTCTAACACAGCCACATTCGGAGGTCCTGAGGGTTAGAGCTTCAACACATGGGTCTGGGGGCAGGGACAATTCAGTCCATAGCAGCACAGAACACGGTAAGTGCCTAATAAATCATATTGTGTGGTGTCTCTGTATCTTGACCCCAAACTCCATGCACGTTCAAATCGAGAGCAGGGGTGTGCAGGGCCTGCACATGACACTAGGACAGCGGTTCTCAACCTGTGGGTCGCGACCCCTTTGGGTCGAACGGCCCTTTCACAGGGGTCGCCTAAGACCATCCTGCATATCAGGTATTTACATTACAATTCATAACAGTAGCAACATGACAGTTATGAAGTAGCAACGAAAATAATGGTACGGTTGGGTCACAACATGAGGAACTGTATTTAAAGGGCCAGAAGGTTGAGCACCACTGCACTAGGGGCTATTTACTCAGTTAGGAGCCCTCACACCAGCTGGATCTTCACACAAATGCCACCGCAGTTCCAAAAGTTCTGCCTGTCACCCAGGGGAGCCAGACTATGCTTATATGGATTTTTTTTCATCATCCAATTTTAGGGCATCACCCAAATTTTAAAAATATGAGCAATGCTTGTAGAAACCACCTTCGTCCAAGATCTACCCATTTGAAAACATTCCTGCACAATAAACAGCTCCTCTACTCGGCTGACACCACTCTTAATTTATCCGTATTTAGTTTTCTAACCAAAGGAAAGCAATGAGATAGGTTATATTGAGGTTATTTTGAAATTTTGAAATATTTAATTGAAAAAGTAATATGGAATTCATTCAACAGTAATAGTAAATCTGCATAATCCCACCTCCTATCACAAACTGCTTTCATTTCTGCATTGTTTTCTACATACATCTTTTTTTCAGAGCTACAAGCAAAGCTTTCGAATAATCGTATTTCCTGCTTTCTTTCCATTTATTAGGGTAGAAACCACCAGTCTAGAGACCAGATGGAGACTCCCAGAAAGTGCCAGAACACAATTTAACTTACCCTGTAAGTGTAGAAAATTCAATTTAAACTTTAAGCAGCAGTATTCTAGAAGGCCACAAGATAGTGATGTTGCTCCTTAAAATGAGCCATTTTTCCAAGATGAAAAAAAGAGGACATAAGGGGTAAAAAAAGATATAAAAGGTTTTAAAGTGTTTCTATTTGTGCCCTACTTGGTTTGGTTCAATGGATAGAGCAAACTGAAGGGTCCCAGGTTCGATTCCGGCCAAGGGCACATGCCTGGGTTGCGGCTTTGATCCCCAGTAGGGGGCGTGCAGGAGGCAGCCAATCAATGATTCTTTCTCATCACTGATGTTTCTATATCTCTCTCCCTTCCTCTCTAAAATCAATAAAATATACTTTAAAAAAAGGTATCTAACTACAAATAAATAAATAAAAATAAAGTGTTTATATTTGGTTTACAAAAAAGCATTGTTAGAAAGTCCAGTAAACACATTTAGCAAAGATGATCTTTTCTAGGCTAAACAACTGTGCATTTTTCAAAAAAACAAACAAACAAAAAACCCCAAGAACTTTGATCCCTGTCCTGTGTCTTTCTCTCTCAATCCACTTGTCTTTCCTGTTATTTAGTCTCCATCCCAGTTATATTTCTCATGTACTTACTAATTTTATTTGACCCATTCTTTTTTTTTTTAAATATATTTTATTGATTTTTTACAGAGAGGAAGGGAGAGGGATAGAGAGTTAGAAACATCGATGAGAGAGAAACATCGATCAGCTGCCTCCTGCACACCTCCTACTGGGGATGTGCTCGCAACCCAGGTACATGCCCTTGACCGGAATCGAACCTGGGACCTTTAAGTCCGCAGGCCGACGCTCTATCCACTGAGCCAAACCAGTTAGGGCTATTTGACCCATTCTTAACTTAACTTCTTTCTAGTCTGTTTTCAAAGAATTATATTAAAATGCACTAAAGCTAACTAAGAAGTATTCATTAAAATGTTAGCAGTGGTGGGAATGAGGGATTTCATTTTTGCTCATTTTCTATTTTTTTATAATTTCCCCAAAATTGTAATGTGCATGAACTAATTTTACAAGGGAAAATATTTAACATTAAAAAACATAAGATACATTTACCAAGATGGTAATTTTCCTTTTAGTCTACTACTTTAGAAAAAAAGGTCTCCATTCCTATGCCACATAATGTCATATAAGAAAATAAAGATTAATATAAATAACTAGAATTTAAAATGAATAAAATTAAACTAGAGAGAGAGCACACACACCCTGCCCCTCCAGCATGCCTGTCCATGTCCAACATTAAAGTGACCTGCCCAGAGCCATGTGGTTGGTCCTCAAGCTGAGCTCTGAGCCAGGAACAAAAATTCTATGACATCAGCCCATATCTCCGGAACAATCTTCCTTCTAAATGTCAACATCATCCCCCCTGCCCTGGGAAGACTGGGACTCCAGGACTTAAGTGGCTCTGGACAGCAGAGTTACCAGGAGCTAAAATTTGAACCCAGGTCTGGCTGGTCCGCCCTGAGCATCTGTGGCTTAAAGTGAAAAACACCAGTTACAGAGGAAACTGCATGCAGGACTTCAGAGTAAGTCCTGAGGATATAACCCAAAGAATAAAATAGGTATCCATAAGCCCACACTGACATAAATGGGGGAGAAGACACAAATCCTTATGAAGAATTCCAAAAACCTTTAGGAGGTGAAGGTTAAATCCGACCCTTGATACGGGGGAAAGAATAGACTTTTCACAAATGTTGAATGGTGGGACAATTAGATATCCAATACAAAGGAATGAAGATGAACCCCCTCCTCACACCATATACAAAAATTAACTCTAAATAGATCATAAAAGCTAGCTTAAACTCTTTTTTTAAAAGATAGCAACAAGTCTTCATGCTTGGATTGGCAGCTTTTTTCAATATGACACCTAAAAGTACAGGCAACCAAAGAAGAAACAGGTAAATTGAAGAAAATTTAAAACTTTTGTGAAGGATACTGTCAAGAAAGTTAAAAGAGTGTGGTGCAGTTGCTTGGGCGTTTCCTGTGTACCAGGAGATTCCCAGTCAAGGGCACATGCACTGTCTCAGGGGTTGTGCAGGAGGCAGGTGATTCTTGTGCTCTCACATGGATGTTTCTCTCCCTCTCCCTCTCCCTTTCTCTCTCTCTAAAAACCAATAAACTATTTTATTTTATTTTATTGTTTTACAGAGAGGAAGGGAGAGGGGACAGAGAGTCAGAAACATCGATGAGAGAGAAACATCGATCAGCTGCCGCCTGCACACCTCCGACTGGGGATGTGCCTGCAACCAAGGTACACGCCCTTGGCCGAAATTGAACCTGGGACCCTTCAGTCCGCAGTCGATGCTCTATCCACTGAGCCAAACTGGTTAGGGCAAACTATTTTATTTTTATTAAAAAAATTTTTGGTTAATCCTCACCTGATGATATTTTTTCCATTGATTTTTAGAGAATGGAAGGGAGGGAGGGGGGAGAGGAAAAGAGGAGGAGGAGAGAGAGAGACCAATGTGAAAGACTCATTAACTGGTTGCCTCCCACATGTGCCCCAACCAGGGCTGGGGATGGATCAAATCTGCATCCCAGGTATGCACCCTTGACAGGGAATGGAACCCATGACCCTTGGATCTGCAGGTCAACATTCTAACCACTGATCAACACCGGCCAGGGGGGGAAATATCAGTACGTTATTTTTTTTAAAAAAGAAAGTTAAAAGGTAACCCATAGAATGGGAGAAAAATTTTTGCAAGTTACATATTTGATAAGGGTCTTGTATCTGGAATTTATAAAGAACTCTAACTCTGAAATAAA